CCCAGATCTGGTATCCCTCCCACGTGGCATCGTATGTTTCGAAGAGGGTGTAGTGGACCCAGTAGGCGCGGAAGCTGCTTGCAACAACGATGACACCGCCGACCGAGAAGAGAATGACGAGACCGATACGCTGGGTGGTCGGTAACGAGAGGCCGAAGAGCGTGGGGATAGGTAGCGCGTAGATCATGAAGTCGGTCACGACGTTGAGAACACTTTGCACAACCAGTGGCGGTCCTTCAGGGATGCAGTCGCGGTGGTCGGCTTGCAGTGTCCAGTAGCTGGAGATTGGGCTGTGGTTGTCAGCACTGGACTAAGTTGATCACGTGGATGTACTTACATGCATTGTACCCAGAGTGCGACCATGAACACGACGAAGGCGGCGAACACGAGGGCAAAGGTTGCCCAGACGAGCTTGCGGAAGAGCGACTTCTCTGGCGCGATGCGGAAATACGAGATGAGGATGGACATCTTAACGGTGGAAGAGGCCAGGACGAATAGTGTTTGGCCTGCCATGGAAGCCTAAAGCCGTCAATATCAGCGTGTGGTGACACGGGTTGCACATTGTCGTACCTGTCTACCGACCATCAGCTCGTGCGGCTTGAGGTCCCAAACGTGGCGATCCCAACCATACAGTTGGGATGCCATGATGACGATTACTGTTGTGCCTGTAGAGGGAATTAGAGGATGAAAGTCATGACAAGTTCGGGTTCCGTACCAATGCTGAAGACCATTGCCACGATCATAAGGTAGTCGTCATACCAGCTCTTCTTGAGCCATGCTATCCGTACCCATAGTCGAAGGAAGACGACAATCATAGCGATGGGTAATAATGTCAACTCGACAATCATCAGGCCTGAGCCCCTCGTGACGGGGTCGACGTAGTTCGGCTTGGGCCATGTCGCAAGGACCTCGGGCGGGGGAGACCTCATGGTGCTGGCGTATGTGTTTCGAAAGCCGTGAACGTTTGTTAATCGATGTTAATCGATAGTAGGATGAGACTGAGGAACGGGCGTCACCAGCGTCCAAAGAGCACGGGACTGGGAATGGACAGGAATATAACCTTCACTCAGGGCGAGCCAGATCTCCACCCGTATGCTCCAGCTGCGCCGTGCACAAAGGCTCGACTTCCAGTGGGGCTTGGCCATCGTTGGGAAGCATGGTATGCTGGAGTACAGAAAGCTCATCTGCGCAGCACCATTGGCAGTGCACCACGGGAGCTCCGTTGCGGGTACGGAATGGTGTCGGTTTCGCCCGCAGGGGTCCAGGTACCAGCGACGTCGGTAGTCCCTTCAGCTCGCGCTGTGACTTGCTGGTACAAATGAATAGTGTGGATAGGTGACCAGTAGCCGGGAGCTGACTGTGGAGCGTTAATGTGACTGGGTTCAGGCAGGTTGTTGCTGCGGCTCATCAGTGGGTAGAGACGCATTCCACGCATGGCCAATCGCTGTCCCGGAGCCGGGGTAGCTGAGCAGTAGTACCGAATCCGGCGTCTGGACGTTTTGCCGCAGGACAACCTGATTTGGAGGCCCGTATATGAGCCGATACTTTGGGAGACCAGCGGCGTCCTCTAGACTACCGCATTCTGGCAAGCCGCAATGCTGCTTTTCCCACCATCGCGCGATTGTCGCGTGTCGTGAGCAGAGATCGAAGGGTCCAGCGTTGAGATTTCGCCCGTCGTGGCGAAGCGCTTTCGGATCGCCCGCCTAGCAGCAGGGGCCACCCCCGGCCTCGTCTATCTCAACAACGAATAACCTCACCGCATCACGACAAAGTGTGATCCGCCTTCGCTCTGCGCGATGCCCTGCGGATGCGGGACATTGACGGCGCCTGTTGCTGTCTCCGCTCTCTCGTGGCTGGCAATACTCCGCCCGCCGCTTCTTCCACCTAACCTACTCGCCGACGTCTTCTCGCTGTCTAGTTGTCTTGGTGACGTCGCGTCTTCGGTACCACCTACCCACTGTGTGTCGTCAGCACGTTGTGTCTTTGATCAGAGGAGCCACAGTAAGCGGTATCCCCGATCCAGCCTACCCTCAGGTACACATGGCTGTTGTTTCGAGACTCACGCGATCCACATTACGAGACCCATTAAGACCAGGGACGCCTATGCGGGCGCCTCAGACGGCATCCATTGCGCCACGCAGAAACTTCGAATTGGACGTACGAGGCCTCGATTGACTTCCGCACTCAAGAAACCTGATCCCGGTCCTGTGAAGACTTCACCCCTCTTCCTTGCAAAGATCACTCTATCCAAGCCGCTTCCCCGCCAGCAATTCCTGGCCTTTGGGAATACTCAGCCGTTACGTACTTCCACCGTCAAAACACTAATGATCCTTCCGCGGCTGTGCTCCACTCCCTGGAGGCATGCACATGCATCTCATCTACCGACATGCACACGACGTCGTGTATACAGAGGCCACCGTGCCCGCTCGTTGGCAACGGTTTTACTTTTCAGCTCCCCAAGTATTGGCTACCAAAAACCACTCCCACAACACGGGCTCAGCTCCTGTCCCTATCTCGGCACCCGCGTGGGTCCAGTGCTGTGGGGTACGGCCTCGAATTAGAGACCCGCTAACCACAGCGGCTAAGTGACAAAGCTTCCCTTTCCCGTCTGGTGCCGGCTACAGCATACGATTGGACGTCCACGACATGTCCAAGCTGATCGATGTCCCCTTTCGTCGCTCAACATGTTGTTGACTCCTCGGAAGTGTGTTTTGATTGCGCCATATCAGGACTGATTCAGAGCATTACAACACCAGTCATGTCCTAACGGCTCGATATGCGACTGCGGGACGGCTTCCAATTGACCAGCTATTGGCCCTAGCATCACACCGTTGAAGACTACAAACGTCCTCAGCATGGGTCATCGCTCTCAACAAGGACGTTACAAGTCCACAGGAATGCATCACGGCCAGAGACGTGGTCATGATATCCACGGTGATCGATAATTGTCACGACCATCGCGTCCGATCCACACTGCAATCTTGGTAGTGAAGTAGCTACAACTTAATACAGCACCTAGGAAATTCCCCGAAGACGGCGGCAACTATATCGGCTCGACATGCTCTGGCCCTTCCTTGCAAGTGCCACGCGGAAGGGTATGCGCGTCTGCACGTCCTTCAGTGTGCTGACTCGTCACATCCTTTCAGAATATCAGCGAATAACTACACGATACGATGTGATGAACGTCTCGACTCTCTTCAGGCCATCTCGCCTCCCCTGGTCAACCCATGTCGCCGACGATCACGAAGCCACACTCATCAGCGATGTCCCATGGCGACTACATCGGTAGTCGAGCACTGATATCACGTTCGTCATGCTTTGCACAGGTACCCGCGATTACTCACGGTTCATCACGTCGTCACCCATCGGTAGTTCTTCCGGGTTGGAGGCACGGTGCTGGTTGCCTGGAAGCTGTGTTAAAGTTCTTTCTAGCATCGCCATATCGTCAGTGCAGCGGTTATTCCGATCTGCCGACTGATTAGTCGCGATGGTACACTGGGTCCAAAGGGGTAGCCAGACATTTCCAGCGAATATCTCCTGAGCATTCTATTTGGAAGATACCCACTATGGATCTTGCGCATCCGATTACTCATTTCAAAACTGCGGGTACATACTCCGACTCCCTCATCACCAACCCCTTCCATCCTCTAGCGTCCATGCGAAGGCAATGCTAGACTTCCATCTACCACCCCCTTCCCGATCCAGCACCCGATACCAGATCAGCCGGGTAATTGAACCCCCCGTCCTAATCTCGTCTTGCGCGCATAGTGACGTGCGAGCCATCTTGGGGGACTCCGGGTTCTCTCCTTTGTTTTCCTTCCCCAAGAGTTCGGATGCGCGGACGCCGAACGGAAAAGGAAAATAAGACACGTAGGCTGAGGCTGCCACGAGGGAAACATAAACTGCATAGTGTGATGGGTGGTGTGGTGGGTGTACGACTAAATGTGACTAATGTAAGTGTGGCTAATCTTGTCACTAAAAGGAAGGGAGCGTGGGATGGATAATTGGGGTTGTTTTTTGAGGCTACAGAGAGGTGTCGCACTCCGAGGTCATGTAAGATGAACTCGCCGCGTCATCAGCATCGGTTTGTTCATCTCATCTCATCTTGTCGGTGCCTATATCTCGTAAGAGGAACGGATTAAACCCGTTGCGCTACAGTGTACATTCAAACCAAGACGAAGATTGACAAGTCCAAAGGTGACGTAGACTTCAGATAGGTCGTTTCCACTGTGCCTCGCGCTCGATCCAGGAATCGCGAGTTTGAAAAAGGGCTTGTGCGAACGTTGGATCAAATTCATTATGATCCGCTGACTCGAGAAAGAACAGGAGTTGCGGAAGGCCAGGTTCAGTCCACTTTGAGAGTTTCTCCGAGTCAGACGACATTCTGATCCACGACTCTTCCGCAATTACTTCGCGCATAGAGAGAGATCTATAGCGCCAGCGCTCAATCGCCACGGGGAGATGCTGCCGGATTCGTGGCAAGATATCTCCAATACGAATGCCGTCCACGTTGTGGACTCTTTCAAGTAGTTCTAAGTCTCTGAATCTCGTCTCCGGACCAAAGGCGTATATGCCCAAGCCCTTACATGGGGGATTCGTAAGGAACATGGTGTGAACGAGCTCGTTCAGCTCTGGCATCAATGCCTGATGTCTCAGATGTAGCTGTAGCTCCGGCGTTATAGTAACAGCGTAGCCACCATCCATCGGCTGCAGACTATCCCCAAACCGGTCGGTGAAGTGTGGGTTTACCTCGAATTGACTCAAATCCTGCCAGCAAGGTCCATCATCTCGAGAAAGAGGCGCTGCCGTAGACTCTACTGGGAGAACACATTCACAGAATGCAGCGAATTCATCGAATGTCGACAGTGGCAGCTTGTCTGCATGCGACAGCCGTGCCGGGAAGAAGGAGTCGGGGAACAACCCGCAATATGAGTTCTGCAGCAGTTGATCCACGATTTCCTGAAACCTTGCGATCTCGGAGTCGGATGGTTGCAACCAGTTCAGGTCAGGCTGAATAGCGTCACCATACTCGACAGGTCCGCACGGATATGGAATACGGAATTGAGTTTGAAGGATGTATCTCACCATATCTCTCCAACCTTTCGAAACGTTCCATGCAGCGTACTGTGTGCTTGGCGTGGCGTATCGGAGTATCTGCTCAAGCAGCTCCTTGATAGCCAAGGCGCGATGGGGGAGGCCATGCCTATTGTCCGATATGGCCGGAGGGATCGCAAGTGGGGAACGCTTTCCGGAGGACTTTGAGTCGTAGAGTGCGATACGCTGGTCAATGATGCGCAGACTTGCTTCTCTCCACTCTTCGACACCAATCTCCAATTGCTCGCGCGGACGAGGAAATGGAAGAGGCCACGGCACTCGGGGTGGTACCTCCCCCGAGGTCTCTCGCATAATAGCTGACGCATAGAGTGCTGAACGGTTTGGGCTGCCACGTATTTGCTCGGCGGTATACCACTTGTAGAGTAGAACGTCGGACGGATGATATTTGTTCGGGTCAGCCTGACTGATATCGTCGATGAGTAGGGGATTTTCACCGTCGGCCATTGTTTCGTCGGCTATGGCTTGGATGCGCGGAGAATTAATGTAAGGATGGAGTCGTGGGAGAAGTAAGACTGCGGTAGTCGCGATAAACCGAGAGCAGATGCGAAGGCGTGCTACTGCTGGCTGTGAACCAAAAGTTGAGCGTTCCCCAAAGCCAAGGCTCCAGTTGACACGTGATGCTGCCTAGCGGGATTTCACGGCTTGCCCGTCAGCACGGACCAACGCGTCACCGGCCCGGCCTCACTCGCATCGACGCGTCGCACCCGTGGACCATCACAACACCAGAAAACGGGTACTGTTCTTCATTATCTACGCGTTCCAGCTCTCTGTTCTCCCGCTTGTGTCGTGCAGTCCAAACAGAGCACTATCAGCCATGTCTCGATAAAGTATTTGCAGTCCCTTCCGTGTACGTGCGGAGTCATGACGAAAGCCAGCCACCAAGAAGCGTCCTCTCCACAGGCAAACTGCGTAACTATTGAAACAGTGCGGAAGGTCGCGCACATCACACCTGAACACACTCACGTACAACCGAGACGTGATCAGACATAACCTGAGATGCCTCCCGCTAGCTTGGCTGATGAATTCGGCTAGCCTTGGTCCTGCACGTGCGCTGGCGTCTCCGCGACTAGGCACCAACGCGCCTTCCCATCCCGTTCGTGAATCAGTCTCCTCAGCCTGCAACAACCCGCTCAATCCTAAAGAGAGACGAAAACAGCGCGACCATGAGCGGAGGGCTGGGGAAAATGGGTCGCATATATCGCGTCAAAATACACGTTCTTCCATTCACCGACCATGCTGGCAAAGAGGCGCTCATGGTGTTCAGAGGCAGACAAACATGTCCGCTTCCACCGCTCTACAGTTTCCACGTCTATTTCACCCATCCGGAAAATAATCCAGGGAATGTTCAGCCGGTCGAACTTCTCGAAGCTCTCATCCGAGACACTCCGTACTTTGCCTATGGATGTCCCTACCGTCTGGAGTTACATTTCCTGCCCATGCCTAATGTAACGGTTGAAGAATGCGACAAAGCCTGCATTGCCCACTATCTCGAAGAGAAACGCCACCGAGGCGACTATCCGAGCCAGATCATACACTTTGAGACATCCATCATTCCCAGCGGTAGTCTACCTGGCTTCGTACCGAGTTACATACAATACGAAAATTGCGATTGGCTACAAGGGCGTCTCTACAGCTACCAAGGAGCCAACTGGAGCACGGACAAGCAGCCTGCACGCGGTATAAGCTTCGATCCTCTCCCCGAAGAAAAGCTTCATGTATTGGCCGAGGAAGTAATGGAAGAATGTGCGGTTGATGGTGTACTTCCGCCAAATCGAGTCGATCTACGAGCATTTCAAAAGGGTGAAGAATATGGTGTTGGCCCGCAGCATGCGGGCGAGGATATGTATTACCTTTCCAACGGCGATACGCAAAACATCACGCTCGAGCCGTATCAGCAAGCGATTGAGCGTGGTTGGTCGACGTGGTAAGCAGAGCTGAAAACAAACAAGTCGAGCAAGTCAATTCGAACATCGCCTGTATGTCTTTCTCTAACAATGTTCAGAAGCCATTTTCGCGCTTCGTGGGCATGTGATGATAGTGCTAGAATAGGCTGATCTCGACTCCTTATACGGATGTACTTGCATATCGCCATCACATCTTCCAGTCCTCTTTGATGATGTCGGCTGCCTTCTCCGCCACTGCATACACCGTCGCCTGTATATTACCCAACGTCTCCATCGGGAAGATCGACGCGTCGACAACCCTAAGGTTCTTTGTTCCGTATACCTTCAATCTGCTGTCGACAACTCCATTCAGTTCCCTCGGCATCATCGCACATGTACCGGTCGGATGAAACGTGCTCAATAATCGCTCTTTGACGATCTCCTTCGCCGTATCCAAATCCTTAGCTTCTTTACCCTCCGGCAACCTTCCACTTGGCTTGAGAAGAGAAGCGAACGGCTCGGTCTTGACGATGGTCTCGATGTATTGCGTATACCGGGCGAGGATTTCTAGATCCAGCGGATGAGAAAGATATTGGGGGTCTAGGATGGGCTTTTCTTTCGGATCCGCTGATCGGATGTGGCAGAAGCCACGTGAGAAGGGATGATTGTTGACTGCCATTATTGTGATGAAGTTGTTGGGATGACTTGGCGCAAGCAATGCGTTCATCTGCGTAACACCAGAAGAGATGTTCAACTGCAGTGGCAGCATCATCGCGTACCCTGCTGCTTCCTTGGGGCCTAGGATTTGCTTCTCAAGCTGCTCGTACTGCTTCTTCTTCCAGAGTGGCAGTTCCTTGTCGTTGATATATTCTTTTGTCAATTTTGCGATTTCTTCGTGGCTAATGCGGCCATTGGAGTCGACGAGCGGAAGCATGGTCATGCTGATCGGGATACCGACGAGCGGGCCGGTCTTGGTGGTCATGTATTGTTGGAGTACGGCCTGAACGATATTCGGATCGCGCATGATGTCTCCAGAGAACTGGTCGTCGGCGATCTCAAAAGAAGGAGCAGAGATGGCGTGGTCTTGGAGGTTCTCACCCACACCAGGGCTATCGAGAACTACCGGTATACCATGTTTTTTAAGAAGCTCTTTCTGGCCGATTCCGGAAAGCTCAAGGATTTGCGGTGATTGAATGGCTCCCGCAGAAAGGATGACCTCTTTCTTCGCTACGACCTCATGGTTCGATCCATCTTTTGTTCGCACACTCACACCAGTCGCCTCTACAGAACCGTCAGAGCCCTTCGTCAGTATCTTTTCGACGAATGCCTCCGTCAAGACCTCGAGATTTGGTCTCTTCGCAACTTCTGGGGTGTAGTATGCTGACGCTGCATAGCCGCGAGTCTTCGTCTCGTCATCGATGGACAATCCGCACGCGAATGTACCCAACTTCTCGCCCTCAATAGGATCATCCGTGTTGCACCAACCCATCTTGTCCAGGGTTTTGGCCCACGAGGCCTGGAATGGCCCATACACGTCTGGAATCGTTACGGGGACAGGGCCGTCTTTTCCATGCAGCTCCTCGTTAATGTAGTCTATGTTGAGGAGGTCTTTCGTTTCCGCACTCGGTGGTGTGAAGCGACTGAACTTGCGAAGGTACGGTGCGATTCCGGCAGCGTCCCAGCCCTCGTTTCCGAGTGCTTTCCAGGCTTCAAAGTTGGCGTTTGACGGATATACGATCGCGCCAAAGTTGATGGCTGAAGATCCACCAAGAACTTTTCCTCGGGGATGCGGGATCTGGCGACCGTTGACGTGTGTCTTACAAGCCCGATTGTCAGTTGGGTTCGATGTTCTTTTTCACGGCAACATGGCATCGTGCCGCTGGACTCACCTGAGGCTCAGACATGAAGTCCCAATCATAGTCAGGATCCCCATAAAGCGTTGAAAGCATACCAACAGTGTCGATCTTGGGATCTCCTTGTCGGTTGGCGCCAGCTTCGATCAGTAGCACGCTCTTGTCCGCATCCTCGCTCAGACGATTGGCAACCACCAACCCACCGATACCGCCGCCAATGACGATGAAGTCTGGCGCTCTCGTGGAAAGCGCATCGATGGATGTAACGCAACCGATGTGCATGCTGTCGATTGGTAAATCTGTGTGCTTATGGTGGCACGAGGGAGACTCTGTGCGACCATCGCAGTACAAAGCGAAAGCCTAAGCGGCTGTCCCGCCATAGGATCGACGACCTTCTGAAAAGAGAAAGGACTATTGATCTGGACTCATCGTGGTCTCAACACGCAACGGGCGGCTACTCCCTCGGCAGACGGCAAGCGATGATTGGGAGGCACTAAGGCTGCGGGCCGGGGTATACGGGTCCACAACGGTATGCCGAGCGCCTATCTTGTCGCGAACTTGCAAAATATCCACCTGTTTGCTTGATGATAGAAGACAGAGCGCGATTGATACGGCTAGTATCCCTCCAGGTGAGGGCGCGGAGCCGGAAAGCTTTGCAGCCTCAAGGCCCGGTCCCGCCCGCGCTCCACTGCAGCCTCGAAACGTCTCTAGCCAAAGCAGAAGTGCTCCAGTTACGATTTTCTTGTGGTTAATCGACGCGATAGCAAGCGGCTCACTTTTCATTCCACGCATCTAGATACCGTTGCATCTACCTGGCAACACAATGTAATTACATCCGCACAATAAAGACCCGCACGACTCTCTTTGACGAAGCTTCAAGATTGCACGCAAGATCCGACGAATGTTACGGTACCGCTCGCGTGCGCGACTGCGGGGCATGGTCTTCAACCAATGCCGCAACGCGCCCTTCACAGCCTTTTCGACAACAGTGCTTGGTGCAATCCCGGTGGCCTTTGGTGACACAACTTTCTGCAGAATGCCCGTCCTATTATTATTGATCGTACAATTCGCTGAACGGACCGCTCCGCAGGGAAAGACGTCATAAAAGCATGGAGTAGGCAAGCTTGAGACTGTAAGCTGACATGAGATTGCCAGCTGAATGGGGCTGTCAACTAATATGCGAAGTGCAGTCCTCTCAGGACAAGCTTTCCACACTAGCCTAAATAAGCCCGAGCTGACTCGACCTAGGCATATACACCCGACAATCGCTATCGTAGCTCGATGGCGATTCGTCTCTTGTCTTTCAGAAAAATACACCTGCTTATTGAATCCTGACGTGCATCCACCTCCGTAAAAGATCTTGTTGTTTGACATAAGCATGGGGATGTGTCGCATGCACTGCGCAGCAACATATTCTCTGCCTTGCGCATAGCCCCTCGGGGCCGTATAAGGTAGTATGCCATTACGCTCGCCAAATTGCGAGTGGTTTGAGCCAATGCCATGGCGTTTTCCAACCACACCATCTACTTTGTCGGCTTATCGAATGCATGCGGGGGCGAGATGATTCTGCTATATCAAACAACAATCAGTTCTCAAATAACAGCATCTCGTCCCATATCTTCCCAAGACTATCTAGAACACCATATTCGTTTGCCAACATGCTACCCTTTGATCCATTGACGAAGACGAATATCTTCCACTCCGATCTCGTCACAAGGCACTTGGCTGCGAACATCTCCCTCGTCGGTTTTGCTACCATACTCGTTGTGTTGCGGTTCATTACGAGACGCATCTGCGGGACTAAGATATGGTATGTGAAGACTGACAATATCTGCCCAGGGTCACATGATCTGACAAAGCTGTAGGTGGGATGACTTTGCCGCAGTCGTTTCACTGATCTTCACTATTGGTGGGTACAAGCCGGTCAGGGCGCAACGCCCACACGATGCGATACCATACCGTTGGACCGGGACACTAACCAGCAACGCAGGCATGCTCGCAATGCACATCACAGACGCGAATTACGGGATGGGATACCAGACCAAAGAACTACCCATTGCCAACAGCATCTTTCTAGCTAAGCTGCTCATAGCTTACCAAGCCGTGTACTACGCCGCCGTCTCCAGCGTCAAGCTATCCTACCTCTTGTTCTACTTACGCTTTTTCACACTAAAGGAACATCGTATCTGGGTTTGGATATGCATGGGCTTGGTCGTTGCGTACTGGCTCGGTAGCATGCTTGCGACTTTTCTTTTGTGTACGCCTCTCGAGGCGAACTGGAACCCTCTTTTGGCCAAAAAGTACTGCCCGGATCACAAACACAGCACGGCGTTCGTTGCGACTGGCATCTTCAACATGATAACCGATCTGATCATCATCCTGTTACCCATACCATTCATCCGAAAACTACAAATGACTCGTGGTGCCAAGATTGGCTTGGTGGCGATCTTTGCAATAGGTCTACTGTACGAGACTCTTGGAGCTGCTTGTCTAGTTCATGTCAGCTAATCTAAATCGTAGTGTTACGGCCATTTCCATCCTTCGTATCGTCGTTATCTTCGACCTCCTTCATACCGCAGGCAACACTAAAAACCTACCCTACGCAATGACCGACGCGGCTTTCTGGTCCGTCGCCGAGCCTGCTGTGGCCATCATCAACTGCTGCATCATGACTCTCCGCCCGCTCCTCAGACTGATATCTCCTACCCGTCTGTGGTCTTCCAACAGAGTCAGCCCCTCGGACGAAGTGAGCCATCCTGCAACTATCGGCGGGGGCTCTAGGCTGAGGAACAAGATTGGAGATGAGCATGACGAGTACCCGATTAATCTGATAGAGGATGGGATGGTAGACACGGAAATCGGACGTGTAGACAGTGGGGCGTGTCGGGGTATACATGGTTATGCCGGTAGTGAGAAGAGTGGCGGAAGTATGCCAACCGTGAATGACGTATCGAACTATCTAGGCAGAGATTAATATCTACCTAGTCATCTTGACGACGAAGAAGAGAATGAGCCTTTGAATCAGGATGGAGCCTGTCCGTGGTGCGGGCTGATCATCGATGTTACTTTGAGATGCGGAATGATCGTGGTAGCTTTGAGGTGCGTCGCTGTCGGTTGCTTTCCCGTCGAATATATACGAGAGATTCCATCCAGACTCGCGGTCACGCCTTTTTTTCTTTTGCCAGCAAAGACGGCAACAAGCAAGCGACACGCTCAGCCGTGATCTTCGAGATGTAGGCGACAGCGCAACACGTGCGCAGCAGTGCAACCCCTTGGCCAGGCAGCAGTCTCACGTGCGCCCGCCTAACGCCGCACGGCCCCACCCCCATCGTCTATATAAACCCCCCCATCCCCCGTCCCTCATCCGCTCATCAGCTCTCTTTGCCAATCTGGCTTAGAATCAAGTGTAGTATCTGTTCTTCATAGTGTAATAACTATGATTCCGCTACTGGCGGATCATCCATTACTCTTATTTTTGTAGTTCGACCCCAAGGTCCCTGAGCTCGCTCATACCTCGAGGCCACAGTGCCGCCAGTATCTCGCACTACTTCTGGCTGGCGCGACTCTTTTTTTTTCATTGGGTGTTCTTGCTTGCGAGAACCTTGAGGAAGAAATGTTGATGTGCTTTGCTAATATGGCTTTCTAAAGCCATTAGACGGGTTCGAAGAAGAGAACACTCCAGGGACGAACTCCTGGAGGTGAGCACTCTGTGTAGTGCTAGGCCAACGTGAACATTTGCTCAAGGCGTATTAATGTTGAAGTATGTACTCCGCACATTGCATGAAGTGTACCGATCGTATCATTTTCGCGCTTTCAATAGTCAGTACGGCTCAGACGGAATGAGCTCCTTTGTACCTTCTGCTTTGAACGACGCGTGAGAGCAGCTAACGGAACGCGTCCCGCTGTCGGGTTTAAAATGCGCCACACAATGGTGGCAGCAACGGCAGGACGCCTATCGATAGTTGCGAAGAACTTTTCGTATACATGCCCAAACCGAAGTTGGGCCTTACCACGCGACTCTGTTGAACTCATAAGAGGCACCTAGACTCACGACACCTGCACCTAATGTTATACAGAAATCTTGATGCAGCGTATTTGCTCCGTACAACGCGAGTATCACGCGCATGTCAGGGTCCTCTAGCGCCCCTTCGTATCGCAATCGCGCACGCGATGAGACGGCAGGTAGTTGACTCGACCTCGAACCGTTTGCGGAGAAGATATGAGCAATCAATACATGTGCCAAGGCTCGCCCGAGTCTTGTTCTGCCATAGCTGGGAGCGAAAAGTACGAGAGAGGGGTAGGACAAGCTTCTAGTAGTGCCGAGCGTGCCGGGTCTGGGCGAGTTTCTATTTTCGGTCCCTGCCGACCTGACACCTGGGCTGCGCGCTTCCAACAGCTTCACAACAGCTGTTTACGCGCCCACGTTTGCTCGCTGTCCGACATGTTGAGTGCCAACGGAGGGGTCAAGATGCGGTGACCGAGACCCAGGAACGCATTTTTCGTCCTGCATGGGACCCGGAGAGGGGTTCTTTGAAGCCATTAGGTTGGACCGATCGCACGCCGGGCTAGCTCGTGTACCCCTAGTGCCCACGGAACAGTGGGCGGATCCACAAGTCCCTGACCAGAACCTCGGATCCTCTTTGCCTTGACGGTACGATCGGATGTCTTTGGACGACTCCTATAAGGCGTCGGGAGTCGCCCCGTTGATGGGGTGAGGGGACGACGAGCGTACCGCCGTTGTCGTTGCCGCTTCTTCCACTCACCACCGTCGCTCTTTCACGCTGTGCCATCCTTTCTTTCTGCACCTGATCCTACGAATACTCGGGTCCGCTCTTTGTTGTAGTCGGTTCCTTACGCTCTCTTCTTTCTTTGTAAACAATCTTCATCTCACGACTTCAAAATGAAACTCTTCGGTCTTCTTCTGCTTGTGCCTTTGGCTAGTGCACGAGCTGTACGATACCACCCCCAAATACCCATTGTCGAAGAACCCCTCGACAAACACACTAGCGCGGAAGGACTTGATGCGCCTCCCAGCATCGGCGTCCATTTCACAACATCACAAGCAGTAGCAGCTGCGCGATACCCAAACGGCACAACAATCGACGTGGCCCAAATCCCCGGAGATGCCGAATACATAGACCTAATGTCGCGGTGGATGACACCACAGACGACATCAAATTCTCCAAACGACAGCAGAATCCTCACAGAATTCCTGTCACTAGTCCACGCAACCCTCGAAAATGTACTCAACCACCCAATCACAAATATCACATCGGCCGTCACATTCCCTTTCTACGGATCCCATGAGAAGGACTTTGAAAACGCTTTACTATCAGCCGGCCTCGCGCTATCGGAGGATACCCCTTCGATATACTCGGAAGCATATGCCACCCACGCTGGATTAGAACACGCCTCATGCGCCACCGCAACCCTCCCACATCAACACCAACACATCCTCGTCCTGGCCTTCGACTCCAGTTCCTTCAGCGCAAGCATGCACGAAACCAGCTGCTCCCCCTCCAAAACCAAACCACCAACCCCACACTCCCGCATGATCAATTACGTCGCGCGAAACGATCTCGGCTGGTGGAATCTCCCCGTCTACGACGCCCCACGCGCAAAGTTCTGGGCGAAGCTGCAGGAAGCTGTTGTTCATGCTGTGGGCGGATTGGGTGTGCCGCCGGGGAAAATCGTGTTGCTGGGGAGTCATGGTCAAGATAAGGAGTTTGGGGTGCAGGTGGAGCAGGCGCTTTGGAGGGAGTTGGAGGTTAATGTTGGAGCGTTGCTTGGAGGACGTGGTGGGAAGGCGGAGAATGAGTGGTTGGCTGCGAGGGGGGCGGCGGGGCTGGGGTGGCGGAATCAGAGTCGGAGGTGAAATGGGTCTTTTTTTTTTATGTATTTGGGAGTTGGGGGCAAAAGTATGTGTGCGAGTAACAAAGATACCCATAATTTATATCATCATGAATCGTCATATTTATCTTCGCCTGAGGCAATCCAAACTATGCTTCATACTAGTCCGACGATACCTTCGTACCTTTCTGGGCGCACCCCTTACTCTAGTCTCCAAAGTGTTACATATATGGGCCCGCCCATGTACCACCGGACTGGACTTCTTTCACCCAAGACCTCGTCTCCTGGTCATCTCACCTTTCCCCTTCTACAGCCTTAGTCTCGAAGACCACAACAATCGTGCCTCGGAGCTGGTCACGAACCTGCTGTGATCTCAGCTCATCCACAACACGCTATGCGCGCCCTGTTTGTGGTGCTCAAGCGAGCAAGCGCGTCGTCTTAAGGCGGAGGGTATATCGTATCGGTATCTTCGTACCGACCGTTGCCGCTTTGTACTCCTTGCTCTCTTCTCAGCTTTGGGTCTGGCTGCAGTAGCAGCGATAACCTCTAAAGTTTGTTCCCTTTCGGATATGTCCTCTACTTGGTAGTTTCAGCGAATCAGCAGTACCGATACTACTAGCGTCAGAGCGTATAAACACTGTGTCAGGTAGTTTCTCTCTTCTCTATCGGCAGTCCTTTCTCTTTCGCACGCGTACAGAGACTTGGTCAGGAAGCCGATATGCTCCATCCCAGCAATTCTTTCTTCTTCGTACTCGGCAATGAGTTCGGAAGCGTGGTCCAGCCAGGCTTTTTGTTCACTACATTTGGCTTCCCACGCTGCGATTTCGCTGTCGTAGTATTCGGTGAGCTCGTCGAGGACGCCGATGAGAGGCCCGGGAGATGATGGGGGTGGTGGTTTTGGAGCATATGTGCCCAGCTTTCTTGGTGGTTCGTCGAAGGCGCTTACCAAGGGATGGGGAGATGGTAGCGGTTTGGGGGTAGACACGCACAGCGTGTTGCCCAGCTTTCTTGGTGAATCCACGAAGGTGCTTATGAAGGGTTGAGGAGATGGTAGCGATTTGGGGGTATACACGCACAGCGTGTTACGCTGGTTACGTACCTTTCTTGGTGATATGGTCATGGTGGTGGTTGACGACATAGTGGTGTAGTGTGGATCGCGTAGTAGATTGCTGTGAATGTAGTGGTTTGCTTAGAGAGTTAGTGAGAATGTTTGCTCGAAAATACTTATGCGGTGCCATGTCCAAATCCAGGTAAGGTCACGATGTATGGTCTAGGTTGATGACTATGAATCGTTAGCATTGTGAAATAACGGTATAGACTTTGCGTGCACAGCTTGGAGCACATGCCACTTCGGATGGTTCGGCGCAATTTCGCGCAAACGTGGATGTTCTGTGTAGAGGTTTGGTGGGTGAGGCGGCTGACGGAGGGCTGTTCACATGTCGAGGCACGCGTCGGTTTTAGCGCGGCGGTTGCGTCAGTGCTCCGAATGGTGATCGGAAATATACCGCCCTAGAACAACAAGGAACAACATCCATCCTCAGGCTGCCACCAAAGTCCACGCCAGCTGTCTTCTTCGCATGCACACGTGAGGAAAAGAACACACGCTAGCACCATGATATGATGGGATTCTTCCACGACTGCTTCTCTTGAAAGTTGCAGCTCACGCCCACACCAACCCACGCCAGACGTCATGGCAGGCAACGAGCCCACACTATCGTCTCGCGCGAACCAGTACGTTCGCGAGGTCCTGCACAACACCGAAGCCCCGCCCACGATCCCCGTCCGCTACTTCTACACGTCGCCGCTCGCTATAGACGACCCGCTGTCTCCGCTCCCGCCGCCGCCCACGGGCACCTCGACTGCGAAGAGAGTGCCACCGCGGCCCTTCTCCGAATACGACAACGAAGCTATCCAGGAGTCGTGGCTGGAGCTGCGTAAGAAGATCCTGAAGCACACCGAGGAGTTTGGGGAGAAAGATGCGACGGGACGCGGTACGCCGACCAACCCGGCGGTGGAGCGGCTGAAGAGGAAGAGAGGCGCTAGTGCTTCGAGCGAGGAAGGCTCGATCCAGGGACGAGACATTCCGTCTGGGCGGTCATCGAGCAGAGGGCAGTACTCGAGATCTGCCGAGCTGGTGGATAAGAAGACACCCGGCTCCGGTGGTGGCAGCTACGGCCAGTCCATGTCTGGCTCGCTGAAGGCCTACGACCCCGGCCCAATATCGCCCCTTGAGCCTGCGACGACCGGCACCCCGTTCATCCGAGCCCCATCGAGAGGGAATCTGGCCAAGTCGTGGAAGCCTGCGCCTATGGAGGGAGGCCATCGGCCGACTATACACGAAGTGGACAGCTACAAGTGGGATGACGACATGGAGCCTGCTCTTTCGACGGCCAAGGATAAGGCGCCTGCACGAAGGTCCTCGAAGCCAAAACCAGGGCCATCCGCGAAGGTGCCCGTGGGAGTCTCAAGACTACATCACGTAGTCATGGACACAGAGTCAATACGAATGGAGCCCATATACTGGTCACCGCTTAGCGACGTCGCCCAGATAGTCCGAGGAACGTGGTTCTACAAAGACAGCATGATGCCTGTCGAGGTGGAAGTCGCCAACATGCTCGAAGCCGGATACATCGAACTGAGACCCTGGACGCAGACGTGGACGGATGAGCTCAACAGTGCTGTCGAAGTCGGTGCATTTGGTGAGATGAAAATACTACACCACCTCTGGCCCGAGCGACCGAGGAGAGCAGAGAGCAGGCCGTCGACTTCGCAACAGATGATGCAAACAGCAGGTCTCGTTCAAAGCACCCTCCCCGAAGAGGATGATGATCCGGAGAAGGAGCGCAAAGAGACCGTGGAGAATGCCTGCGACTTGATCGACATCTCCACAGGTCCAGAGGGTCCAGATCATAAAGCAGCGGGAGATCTGGAGTACGGTGCCGATGGAAGAAAGCGTCTATACCTCAAAGCGGGTGTGATATACTCTAACGACAAGGAAGCTTTCATCCTCAAGCCAGCACTCCAACCATCGGACTACTACGGGCGACGACCGTTAGCAAACTACATCCGCAAGGGCAGAGCGATCGGCGTCCATGTAGTACGCGGTTTCGACCAGGCCGTCTGGGACAAGCTACATCCGAACAAGAATTCGCCAAAGGCACAAGCAGCACGCGAAGGTGTCTCGTCATCGCAAGGTGGCGCGCCACAGTATCGAAGACAGAAGTCGGACCCCGACCTCGCGCAATCTGAACGACCGAAGGTGTCAGACCTGGTGTTGGTCATACATGGTATCGGGCAAAAGCTGTCAGAACGAATGGAGACGTTCCATTTCACGCACGCCATGAACGCTTTTCGAAGAGAGATGAACGTCGAGCTTGGGACTCCTGACGTCAAGCGGCACCTGCGAAAGGATATGGGAGGTGTCATGTGTCTGCCAGTAAGTCCTCATCGCAGTGATTTTCGATCAATGTACTAACACAAGGCAGGTCAATTGGCGACACCGCGTATCCCTCGACGTCGATAACACCGAGGCTCCCGAGCTTGAAGACCCATCTGCGAACAAATACACCCTCAAAGACATCACGCCCGATACGCTGCCGTCCGTACGTGGTATCGTTAGCGATGTCATGCTCGACATCCCATACTACCTCTCACCGATGCACAACCCCAAGATGATATCAGCTTGCATAACAGAGGCGAACCGCATCTACCGCCTATGGTGCCAAAATAACCCTGGGTTCGCAGAGTACGGGCGAGTACATCTGATCGCCCATTCGCTCGGCTCGGTAATGGCCATTGACATCCTCAGCCAACAACCAACCTATGTCGATCCGCAATTCACCGACCCATCCTTCCCCGAAGCGGACCTGCCCCAAGACCAATTCATCTTCAACACAACCGATCTCTTCGTCTGCGGCAGCCCCGTCGGCCTCTTCCTCCTCATGAAAACCGCAAACCTACTCCCCCGTCGCGACAAAGAGAAGCCCGGCGCCGACTCCTATGCCGCCCCCGGCATCGCCGGCGAGCAAGGCACATATGGCTGCCTGGCCGTCGACAACATCTACAACATCATCAACCCCTACGACCCCGTCGCCTGCCGCATAAACCCCACCGTCGACGTCGTCTACGCCTCAATGCTCAAACAAACCACCATCCCCTCAGCCTCGACATCCTATTTCGCCTCGCTTAACCCCTTCCGCTCGTCCACCTCCTCCGCCAACAACGCCGCAAACGACAGACCCACCACCATCCGTCTGCCCAGCAACGTCGAGCTCGAAACGCACAATTTCACGCGCGAGGAGATTGCGGAAAAGAGAGCGTATCTGCTTAATGATAATGGTCAGATTGATTATTATATGAAATATGGTGGTGGGCCGCTGGAGATACAGTATCTTACTATGCTGGGCGCGCATAGTAGTTATTGGCTTAGTAAAGATTTTGTTAGGATGATTGTTGTTGAGGTGGGGAGGGGGCTGGGGAAGGAGGGTACGGTTAGGGAGATGAGGGCCGTGAAGAAGAAGATTGCTGTTGGTGGTGCGACGTAAGGATGTGATGGTTGGGAGCTGGTGGCATTGCGGTATCGGAGTATGTGTTTGTTGGCATCTTTTAGAAGTTATACCCCGTTTTATACGCAATTTGGTAGGAGTTTGATGTAGTATTCGTTTAATTCAGATTAACGCTATCTAGCATCCTACAGTCCCTCAACGTCTTCTCACACAAAACCCGCTTCTAAACACAACTTGCGCGACGCAAATTTATGGTGTTGCTCCTGCGCCTCGTCTTCCCAATCAATCTCCACCTCTTTCCCTGCATGCATGCTGGCGAAAGCACTGCGACGGGATTTAAGCCAGTTCGTATGCGTTGTATCGAGTACCATGGCCACTCGATTGGCAATGAGTCTATCGTTTGCAGTTTCCTCAGAGGGGCCCTTCAACGTGGGTCCTAGCGCGAAGATAGGCTCGGGGTCATCGATGAAGCCAACGTGCTTCAGAATCGCATGCATGGTGGATCGCCGAAGCGATTCACCGGGTGCGCACCATGAGTTCTGTCCTAGGGCTTCTATGTCTTCCTCCCAGCCGGGCGCTTGGAGTCTATGTCGCACCGCGATGTTCAAAACGGCGCGATACCATAGGTACATCTTCTTTGGCCGGTTGTCGTTTGCAAATTCTAGAATCCTTCCGTCGAGCTGTGCAGGGGCAACAGGCCGAGTTCGATATTTCCAGTCGCCAACCCCATTTCTCACCTTTGGGTCCAGCACTCGGACCTTGTACGGCTCCTTGTCCGTGTCTTGTACTGTTTTGCCGGTCTCGGGGTCGGTATCACCTACGCGAGCAGGAACGATGATGATCTGAGCTCTGTGGAGCATACCCCTGAACTCGAAGCCAAGCGGGAAGCCGTTGGATGGGTTCATCAAGTGGCCGCGTGTACTCTCTGTTTTGCCGAAGAGATAGTCGCAAGCGTAGTCGCCTGTGTTGTAGTGCACTAGATGGACAGCCCCGGTGTCATGTGGCCACGGGTGTACACCTGTGCGTTGCCACGCGATAGGGCACCAGACGTGAAGCCATAAGCGGATATTGTCAGTGAAGCTGCTGCCGCCATAGTAGTTACTGGCATCTTTGTCAAACCTCTGGGGCGCGTCGAGGTCGCGTCCGTCGGGGCCTTTGTACCATGTTTTGTGGACCTGGGGTGACTGGTAGGGCTTTATCAAGCGCTGGATCATGGAGTTGATATACGCCAAATCAATGGCATCAGCATGCTGATGTGCGTCAATGTATTCTCCTTTCATCTGGTTCTTGAAGTCCCGCAGTATGACCAGTAGCTTTCTGAGGTTGGCGGTAGTTGTCTCAGCCTGCACTATCAAAGGCAGTGTTTCTAACTCTGGCATGTTTCCATGCTCTTCAGTTATCTGCCATTGCCGGATGGAGAAGGAATGCGCATCGATCTCAGCGCTGAGCTTGTTGGTGGTGTCGTTGTACCAAATTTGGTATTGGTGCTCGATTGCTTTCTCCCATTCGTCTTGTGTCATCTCAGACGTCCTCTCTAGGGTCTTTGGGCTTGACCATGTATCGAAATGATGATCGCTGGTTCTCTTTGCTGCCTCAAGCAACTCGCTGAGTTGAATATAGGCAGTCAGAGATAACCACATTTTCGTCTCGGTGGTAGCTGGTGAAGCAAACCTAGCAAGGTTTAAGACGTCCATGGGCGCATAAACATCAGTTTCTGACGATTCTTCGTCGCTTGATGAGTCGTCATGCTGGTTCTCCAACACCTCTTCTTCCAGTTCTGTCTCAAAACTGAACAACGCTTCTCGCGCCTGAAGCCCTTGTTTCTGTTTCTTTTTCAATTTTGGCATTCTGGGCTCTCTTTGATGAGCCATTATGAAGTTTCGGTGGCAGATAGTGTTGGGCAAGTATACAAGTTTGTGGTGTTGTAGTGTCAGAAAATATTCAAGTTCGGGGTTTGAGTACGGCGATGTTGCTACCTCTCAGGATAAAACAGTGAGAAGAGGGTAACATCGGACTGTGAGTCACATAGATGCAAAAAGACGTGGTTCGCAGGGCGAGCATGACTGGAAACTAGAAGCGACCACGGTACGCATCAGTGAGGACCCTTGGATGGCTAGCCACTCACAGTCATCGCAATACATGCGGCCAAGAAGACGAAAATCAGCTCTAGTAAGACTGCAAAAGGCATACTTTTTGAATCATCCCATCATCCCATCCACCACGTCCAACCTACTGCCCCAACAATATCTTCATAGTCTCAACCCCCACCCCCAGCACCTCCTGACTCCTACTCCCCTGCAATACCCCCTTCAACTCTTCCACCACACCCTTTTTCTTACAAACCTCCACCCCCTCCTTGACATCCACCACACTCCTCAGACAAACAATTCCCCGATACCTGATACCCTCGTCCTCATCCTTGCACAACCCAACCAACCACTCCACACTCTTGTCCTGCTTGAGGAACTCGACAACCGCAAGATCTACACTCAGCAACATCGCTAGCGCACCTCCAGCTGCTGATCGTGTCGCAGCGTCGTCGACATCCGTCATAGCAAGCAGGAGATGGAGTCTATGTTTCGCCCTTGGTGAGCCGTCTGCGAAATTGGAGATGCAAACAGGCGAAGCCATGAGGTTACACAGCAATTCCGTAGCCGCACGCCGAATCATCGTGTTTGAACTAAGTAACAAATCATCCACAACCGTGTCGAAAGACTGGCGAATGATATGGTCCTGTGTATTCCTATCCAGAGAAGCAAGGTTCGTGAGTGCGAGGAGCGCTTCAAAGGCGTGCAGTTGCCAGGTCGTAGACTCAGTCCGTGTGAGTTGGCTGAGGAGGGGGCGAATGGCCGATGCGCTGGGTAGTGCGGCGTTGAAAGCGTGGGATGGGTTTATGCTTATCAAGAGCCGGGAGAGGGCTTGGGCTGTTGTGGGGAGGGCGGCGGGAGGGAAGGGCGTGGTGCCGGTTGTTGAGAGGTCGTTGGTCGAGGAGATGTGGTCGTAGATCTGGATGAGCAGTTTCACTGCGCCTTGTTGGGCCATGGTGCCGCGGGACTTTGTGTCTTTGGAGAGGGCGAGCAGGATTAGACTGCTTTGGGTGAGGATAGATGGGGAGCCCTTTTTGCAGACTTGCACTAGAAGGGGGACAACGCCGGCGTCTAGTACGCGCTTGCAGCGTATGGCGACGTCTTCGTCGTTGAGGAGGACGTGGGGTGTCGACGGCTTTTGCACGTTGGCGTAGGCTTTGAGTTGGGCCATGCGCTTTTCCTCTTCGGATTGTAAAGGCAGGTATTGTGTGATGTTGACGAAGATGGTCAGACCGCCGAACACGATGTTCTTGGGTGACGAAGGGTCGCTCATGGTTTCGATGAGGCGTTTGAGAAACTTTGGCGACTTGGAGAGATCTTCTCGTACTTTGGGTTGGAGCGAGGCGTAGGCGAGTCCTTCGACTGAGTCTTGCTTTGAGGATGTGTCGCCTCCTATGACCATTGACTTGAAGCTGGCGATTAGGTCGCTTTGGTCTACCTTCTCTGCTCTGACGATTCTTGGTGCATCCTCAGACGGTTGCTCTTCGCCTAGCTTGACCAGTACGAGAGCGGCCAGATTGGCTCGCTTCTTGTTCTGGCTTTCTGCGACGACATCCTCCAGCCACTCTCTGCAGTTCTTGCTGATCGCCTCTCGACAGTTCTTGTCGACACAGGCAGCGCTGATTAACTCCAGAGTAGCCTGCTCAAGGTTGTGCGACTTCTTGCTTTGAACCCTTGACACCAACGTGCTGACAAAGCCGTCTGTGAGGAATAGCGCAGCAGCAGCTGTGACAGCGACCGGAAAGATAGCTGCAGCCGCCGAAAACGCAATAACCAGATCATTCGCCTCCCCCTTCTTCGTCCTGTGCGTAACAAACTTCGAGATCAACTCGCTAGCCGTCTCCGGCGCAAGCTCAAACAACTTGATACTCGCAAGAGTAGCCTGGCTACGCAGACTAGCAGGAAGTCGAATATCCAGCGATGTGAGAATAACATCGAAACTATCCGCATCAATAATCCCTTTGAGATGCTCCGCGTAATGAGCAAGCAGCTGCGCGATCCCCTTCATCGCACGCTCAGGGTGCTCAAGCGCCTCCTCCATCATCATCGCCAAACTGAGCATGAAGATATCTCTATGCCCCGTCTTGAATGATTCGTCGTCGGGCCAGATCGCCCGGTTGAGACAGACTTTGAGTAAACCGTCGATGGAGTCGTCGCCCCGCTCGAACATCTCGTAGTAGATGCGTGTCGGCTGCTCGCGGATGGCTTTGGCGACCCACATCTGGGCTCCGGGGTTCTGGAGTAGTTCGCCTGAGACCTGGTCGAGGATGTCGTCTTCGCCTTTGAAGTCGAAGAGGATGGCCATTGCTTGTTCGGCTTCGTCCTGCTTCAGGCCATGGGTCCGGATTGCTTTGAGTGCCTTTTCGCCATCGTGTTCGTCTTTGCTGCGGACCCAGGCTCGACAGTGGCCCAGTAGTTCGCTCTTTCCCTCCTCTTCTTTCAGTGCAAGCCATGCCTCTTTGATCCGCGGATGCTCGGGTGCGATCGTACTAGCTTCACGCAGGTACCGGGCTGCAACGGTTAAATCGCCTGATTTGGTGCTCTCACTTGCCTTCTCGGCAAGTTGCACCGCTCTGTCTTCGTCGGACGTGGAAGACATCGTTGATTGTATGATGGAAGAAGGTCACTCTAACGTGATGACTTTTGGAGTTCATGGATGCCCACGTGTCACGGGGCCTGGATCGATTTGATGGACGACGCACGGGCCTCTGCGGAGCTGTTTAGTGGAGCGCGGGGAGGTTGATCATCACTACAGCAGGAGCAACCGTGGAACTTCCCTTTGATAACACACCAGCTCTATGTGCCTATATTTTCTACGCGTGCTCTCTATGCAAATTTAGTGAAGTTCAGGCCTGGAGCTTTCAGCAGCTATGTCAGAGTGTCTTCTTCTTGTATTCGCGCTCGTATCGTCATGATTCGCTTGCAATGATGACTGTGAGTGGTACTTTGGGCCATGGATGTCAAGGTGTCGTCACTGCATCAAAGTGCATCCAGAAGATAGTATGCAAAGACTACTCTTGATTACCAAATGCACCTCATCCCGTCATTAAAAGATCTAATCCTCGCTTTCCCGCAGTGAAGCGTGCGAGGTCCAAAAATATATACCTACGCCTAGAAGATGCTCAAGTATAAATGCTTCGCGAACGAGAAACAATGAGACCGACCGCTCTGAAATGATCATACAGAAACGCCATGCCAAAACGCTATGCAAAACGTGCGCCATTTCCAGAATCCGACCTCCCACATTCCGCAACTCCAGGCTCATGCATTCTACTCCATGCATACAACCACCCTACTTCCCCTCATCAACCGCCGTATCCGCCCTCTTCCTCTGAATAACGCCCAAAAACAGCAACCTCTCCCAAACATCATCCTTAACAAGCACCCTCGTCTTATCAAACGGCAGCCCATCCAACTCCCTCAGACTCCTACAAAGATTCGCCAGCATCATCTCAGTAACCCGACGCCTAATCCGGGTCTCATAGTCCAATCGCTGCAAGTGCTGGACATCGGCTTCGACTTCGCCCTCAGGCAATACAAAGCGATTGGTGAGTTGCTCGTCGGAGGGTTTCTGCCGGAGAGACAGGATGCGGTTTTCGCACGTGGGGGCGTAGAAGCGGAGGGTGAGGGGGTTGTCGCGCCAGTCGAGGGTGGAGAGGGTGGGGAGCTTGCCGAGGACCATGGCGTTGGCGCGCAGGCGCTCGAGTTTGTTGCCCGCGAGGAGGAGGGTGCTGAGGCGCTTGATGTTGAGGAGGGGGCGGAGGTCGGTCAGTGAGTTGAAGTTGAGGTTTATGGAGCGGATGTTGGGGGTTAGCTGGCCGAAGTTGTCGGGGAGTTCTTTTAGGCCCATGGAGGCGAGTTCTAGGCGTTGGAGACTTAGTAGGTGTGAGGATATCTGTAGGCCGTACGTTGGGTTGAGGGAAAGATAGAGGTTGCGGACTTCGGTGTTTCGGACTAGGTTGCTTGCGCACATCTCCATGTCGGATTCCGAGTTTAGGATTTGTTCGCGGGCGGAGAAGGTGCGGAGGTGGCGGAGATGTTCTAGTCCAGACACTTGCGTCAGGCAGTTGCCGTCGACGTAGAGAGATTCAAGCTTGGGGAAGTACTGGTCGACATCGAGGAGTGTCGTTCCGTTTCGGCACATACGGATCGAGCGCAGGAATCTGCATGGCTTCAGAGGTCCATCAAGAAGGGGAAACTCCTCGATTTCGTTGTCATCTTCCGAGAGTTAGTATTGGTCGAATGAGTATAGCAAGAAAAGACATACCAAGGTTGAGATGCTGAAGCTGGGGTAGGCAATGCAGATTCCGCACTTCAACCAAACGATTCTTGCGCATATCCAGGTCTGTGAGTGATTTTCTATCGCACGAATTAGCAGGGAACAAAGCATGTTCAAGTTAATATACTTACAGATTCGTTCGGGTGAAGTCAACCATGTCAATCTCGTTACCACGAACACTCAACTCCATCAGACCATCGAGGTGTAGGATGCCTTGGAGAGATTTGATCTTGTTGTTGTCGGCCTTGAGTATGCGGAGATGCACAAGCTCAGCGAGACCGTCAAGCCTATCGACATCGTTGCCGGAAATGTCAAGGTGCTGAAGGTTGACGAGGGTCGTCCAGGAAGTAAGTCCGTTCAGGCAGTTGTTCTGTACTTGTAGTCGCCGCATAGTGTAGGGAATGCCCTCAACCTGATTGATCTTGTTGTCAGAAACATCAAGCTCTTCAAGTGAGTAGCAGAGCTCATCAAGGCGGTGTAAGCTATTGAGATCCTTCTTCCGGAGGTTGACACTGCGAAGATCCTCCCAGTACGGCTCATCAGGCTCAACATCTTGCAGCGCCTTGACGAGCTCCGCAGTACCCTGTGCATAGCGGTCCTCCAGGGCCTTGGAAAATCGACTCCCGTTGTGCTTTACGACAACTCGATCCGGAAGGTCAAACTCGTCGATCTGGTTGAGGGTAAACTCGGGGAGATCGCTGAGCATGAATGTAACATCCTTGACAGGTGATGACGGTGCGGCCACAAGTGTGTCTCGTCGTTCGTGTCTGAGCGGAGGCGCGACATTCATTGATAGTTGCATTCGATAGTTCTTTGACGGGGCATCGTCCAGAATCGACAGATCGCCATCTCCGTTGAAGACTGGCAAACGACTGGGCCGCCCATGCGACACAGTCCGGGTACCGTTCGTCTGTTCCCAAGCCGATTGTTTCTTTTCTGACCTCTGCTGCGCACTTGATGGTCCCCACTGGTTTTGGCGGCGCTGTGGTGGTGCGCTTTCGGAGTGCTGATCCCGCGTGGGAGCCTCGTGCTCAGCGATCGAAATAGTAACGTTGCGCACCCTCGGACGTTGCACACTGGCAGGAGCATGGTCTCTTCCTTCAAAGTACTGGATCTCATGTTCAATGCCATCTTCCTCCGACTCTGGTATGGCGTACGTTGTAGGCGCATGGGGCATCTTGTGTGTACTGTAGTTTCGAGGAGCTTGCGTGCTCCAAGAAGTGGCCCGTGTGTCAGTCTTGGGGAAGCTCCACCCGAAGTTAGAGGCCTTGGAAGGCGCCGAGCTTGTGTCTGTGTAAGCGACACCTTTGCCTTCACGGGTCACAGGGCGCGATTCTTCTTCGGCCCCGGGTCTTTCCGTGTCCTCAAGTATGGTTTCTGCCGTAGGTTGTAGGCGAACTGGAGAGCCTGCTTTGTTATCCTGCTCATGGGTGTCTTCCACTGTCAGATCGGGAATGTTGCCAAATGGATCGTCTTCGCTTGCGTTCATACCACTTGGCTCATCCTCTAATAGGTGCTGTTGTCTGGAAGGGCTCTTCTGACGGACCCATATGTTCTTGTCGCGGTCAAAGCTCATTCCGGCTACCTGCTGAGGGATCAAATGCGCGACCGCTTCGGGTGCAAGGGTGGCGACACACTCGGAACGGCGTGATGCATTTGTCACAATTGTGTTTCCAAATGATGAAGCTGTAGATAGAAGCGTGTTATTTCCGCGAGGCTGGGAGCTGGGTCGCTCGTCGCTATCGGCCCGATGCCTATTGGGATTGTCGGTGATCCGGATGTCATCTTGCTCAACCACCACACTTTCGTCTTCCGGTGTCGCAGATCCTCTCAAACGTGATACTCGTATGGAATTGACTGAAGAGTTCAGGAATGTGTCGTTCTCGTGTTCTTGATATTTCCGGAGGTGGTCCATGATATCAGCATCCATGTGTTGCGTTCTTTGGTCCTGCCAGGAAGACTGCCGACCCTCTTTGCTTGGGGGCCTTTCAAATGTCAACATACTAGAAGGATCATCGTTGACCTCCTCGAGCAGTTGCGTCTCGGCTTCCGTCTCCTCAAGGCTGCCCAGACCGCTAGTTGGTCTGCCCTTGGTACGGATGAAGTCCATGATCTTGAGCGCTTCGTCGAGGAAATCTTGTGTTGTGACAGATCGTTTGCGGTTCTTATCGCGTATGTTGGGCTTTCTCTTCAAGGTAAAAGCGGCAATCTGATTGGCAACCGCCTTTGCTCGATCTCGCTCCGAGTCAGTATCTGACATGATTGACGAGTCTAGGTGTTCGCGGATGGTGTTGAGCTTCGGTGACGACAGGATGAATGCTTCAGTAGCTTCCATTATTTCTGCTTGTATCTCTTCTCTCCTGCGTTGACTAGGCGTAGGGTTCCGAGGTCTCAAAATGTGTCTGCGGGCCAGTGTTTCGGAATCGGCAATCTTCTTCGAAGGGTCTTGGCCAGCTTCCTGTCGTGTACGTCCAACAACGGCTTGTATGGCTGCGTGCGAGCGTTGTACTGTGCCCTGCTCAGCATCACTAGCCGCGTTCTCGTCGTCTTCATCCTCATCCACCGCGGTTATCGTCCTTCTACGCTTCGGCGTCGGGTTCTTGAAAGGGGATGTCGGACCTCTCTTCCCATCTGCGTACTCGTGCACGATTTCCGAGAATGATTCCGGCTCTGTCTCAGAGACCTTTCGATGTGGTACAAATTTTGGCCGGCTAGCACTGACATTCCTAGAAGAATTCCTTGTATGGCTTGACAGGTGTCTCTTGGCCTTTGAAGGTTCCATTTTGCCTGGTGATTCGTCGAGCTGAAACTTGAAGGGTGGACGACTGCCAGGGGGTGCGATGTCTGAAGAAGGCGAAGCGTCGGGTGCGCTATCCTCGTGTGCATCGTAGTCATCGTCGGAACATATCGCCGAATAGTCGCCGGAGTACTCGTATTGGTTCAGTTGACCCTGACCGAACGACACAACTCTGGAGGGTAGTTGTGACTTGTCCTGGTCGGGGTTCTGGAAGCTTTTCTCTTCTACCGAAGTCAGTCTTGATTTGTTCGGCGCCGCCTTGGTTGACTCTATCGTGCCCTCCTTGACACTAGAGGCTTTCACGCTGGAAGCCTTCTCGGACTTGTACTCCAACTGACTAAGTCGTCTCTGTATCCGGTTGCTTGTGAAGGTGTCGTGCGCATCGAAGAGTTTCAGAGGACTCCCAGAACCCTTTGCACGGTCTGGGCTGAGGAACTGTTCGCGCCGACGATGTGGAGTCGTTGGGTTGTTGGTCTTCAATGCCGGGGGAGGAGTAGGGTGCTTCGCGGTGGTACTAGACTGGGCCGTGCCAGCACGGCTGCTAGACGGTCGCGCCCCAGCTATTCTTTCCGGCGATGGGCTGAGTGGTTTCCGGTGGAATGATCCGTCTCTAGAGTATCCGCCTCTTCGGAGCTCCACATTGCGATGGACCTCGCCCATGTCTGGAGTACCGGCGGGGAGGCCTTCGGGTAGCGACTCGTCCTGTAGCCTGGCGAAAGATGAATCCTCGCGACTGTGTCCCAGAGCACTCTCCTCGTGCTCGGTCTCGTACTGTTCTGGCGGCGGCGATCCGATCTGGCGTAGGCGGTTGGCGAGCTCGGATCCTCGGAAGTTGGGAGCAGGCTTAGCGGCCTGGCTGACGTTCATGTTGGCGGTCATGGTGAGATAGACCGGACTGAAGTTCTCGTTCTCGTATTCTATCTGGCCGCTGACGGTTCGAACAGGATCGCTGGGTGGCGGCATGAGGTTTGTGGTGCATTCCGACGATCCCTCTTCGTGTACTGTTCCGTCCTGAGAAGGTCCCTCTTGGTCTGTTTGTTGTTGTTGCTCGTCTTGTTCCGTCTGTTGCGCGTTGGGTCGCGATTTGGGCCATGGCGGCGGGCTCGACGGTAGCGGCACGGCACTGAGGCCCTTCAGCAGCCCGAGCCTGCGCTTTGGCTGGGCAGAGTCGTCTGACGCGCCTGGTGCCGGCCTCTGGAAGATGTTCTCGAGGCCTGTGGGGCCGAACAGGTCGGTCTGGTTGCCGTAGCCGACTTCGCCGTTGACGAGCCTGCGTCTCCACTCGGGCGTGTCCTGGGATCCTGGCTCTTTCGTGGGTGATCTTGCGACGGTGTGGTGCGCTACTGTTCCGAATTGCATGCCGGAGCCTTGCGACATGGAAAAGGACGAGTACGAGGCGCGACGCGGGGGCTCGACGTGTGACGCGTTGGGCGACGACGGGGCGGGGGGCACGTTGATGTCGCTGAGGCTGCGCTCGAGGAGGGCATTGCGCTGCTTGGGCGGGCGCAGCTCTTTCGCGATGCTGCGCACCTGGATCTCGGAGAAGGAGCCTGACGACTGCCGCATGCGGGGAAGGCGGCTGCGGGCTTTGGCCGACGCGCTCTGGGGCGTTTTTGTCGCGGGCGGGCTCTGGGCATTGTGGGCGCCTGTGTCGGGCGAGGGCTGGTCAACCCACTCCTCAGACAGGCCCTCGAGGTAGGCGAGGGTGTTGGCCATGGTGGTGGTGGTGGATGTCTCGCGTAGGCCGGGTGGCCGTGATGTCTCGGGAGGGCGACGCTGAAGATGCGGTGAGAGGGAAACTTGTTGGCGAGTCCCCATGCGCGTCGAAAGAATGCTATGCTAGCGCAAACGGCATTGCTTCTGCAGCGGCGGCTTCAATGGCGCAAGAGTGGTGCTGCAACGCGTCGCCGAGTCGTGCTGACTTGTTTATCGATATCCTCCAGGGCTAGCATCTACTATGACATCTCGTCCCGACTGCACGGCCATAATGGGTGCGCTAACTCGTCATCACCACGGCAACCACATCGATCTCCCGCCTCGCGACAATGCGCCGACGAGGCCTATCCCGATAATCCAGAGCACTAGGCCACCCCAAAAAACGGCTATTCCTGCTCGGCGGCGTAGCAGATCCTCCACAGCTGTCTTGGCGATATCCTTCGCTTGACACCCGAGCTCCTCCACGCCTTGTTCTATTTACGCCGCGTGGCAGCCACGATACACACACGCCGCCCGAACATGCGATCCTGCCTAGCCCCACCTATTTCTACAACATCGTCACCACTACGCATATAATACTGTCACATGTTGGAACTATATTCGAAGAGGCTGCATGAACAAAAGAGGGCCCTTGGAGTGTACCCTTCAGAGCAATGCCGCCGAGCTTGCATCCTCACTTGAAGCGGGGACTGGACTTTGACGCCTTCCATGTCGACCCCGAAGACCTCATCGAAGAACCACCGGCGGAGTACGAGGACCCTGCGCATAGGGCAGCGAAGCGACGCAGAATCGAGGCGATTGCATCCCGATACCTACGCGGCCGACCGCCCGTCATAATCACAGCCGCGCTGAGAGGGCCTTTCGACAATGGCTGGAAGAATCCGTGGACGGAGCCCATAGTAGAGAAGCGGAGGATATCAGGCAAGAACAATGCGGTAGCGGGCACAAGGAACGCCAGTAGCAAGAAGGTCGCTGCCGGTCGCAACAACACCACCAAACGTAGGAGCAGCTCAAGGCTGAATGGAGGCAATGGGAAGGATGTTGTGGAAGATGTTGCTCTCCAGATGGCGTCACCAGAAACATCCAGAGCTGCCAGGAACGACTTAGACCACCGCGAACACGACGATAGCCTCGACGAAATCGAAGTCCCGCCCGCGACAGCACCCTTACCCGACGATGATGACGCACCCGGTACCGCAGAACCCTTCAGTACAAACACGAACAATCGCATACAAAACCGCTCCCCCATGACCAACCCGTTCTGGTTGCGCCGCCCTGAGTCAGCACGAGTCGACATGCGCAAGGCTGCGAATAGGAATACCGATACATCCCCAACGCGGTCTCGGTCGCGAAACAGCACTTCGCAAACACAAACCCAAACACTGTCAGAGTTACGGCTCAGTCTACCGAAAGCGCCCATACAGGCTCAGAAGTCGGCTCCGGAGACACCAGCACAAGAGGAGTGGAGATCAAGCGCCTCAGCTTCGATGGTCATCTCTTCGCCGGCGAAGGATGCTGATACACATGGTCAGGCTGAGCCTGAACCAACTGCAAGCCCACCACGTTCGCAACGGACTGTGCCGATCATCACTTCTTCAATGGGCAGTCAAGGAAGGCCAACAAGACAAGACATACAGCAGTCTGCAGAACGTCTAGGCCGCCAAACACCTGGATTGTCATCAGAAGGACAACCAAGGCGCTCAATTCGTCGAAGAACGCAGAATGCACCCACGCTTACAGATGCACAGCGTGGTCCCGTGACCTCGCCTTTGCCGGCTTCTTCAACTGGCAAGCCCCGTAAAAAGGCCAAGCTGAAGCCGAGAGTAGTGAATTTCGACTCGTCGCCAGAAAAGATTCCTTCTGCCAAGAAGTCATGTGCAGAAGACGTCATCCACAACGACGCCGACGATAAGCTGCAGGTGGATCCAACAGACGCAGTTGTGGTCGATGTACAAGCGTCTCCACAAGTTGAAGGAGATGCCAGTGTGATCCAGAATGAAAACTCTGAACTGCGCACGAGTCGGTCTAGTCGAGACTCTGACTGGTCTACACAAGCCGCCATGATGCGAGCTCAGCTTGAGTTTCAGCAAAGCACCTTCCCCATGATGTCCCCGGAGGTTCTCCAATTGGACTCGCAAACCTCACTTCTTGATACACCCCGTCCCATACTAGTCGCAGCCAGTGCAGCCGTTACACCTCTTTCTGCCTTCACTGTCCAGCGAGACGAGCCACTTGCACCCGAGACTATTCTCCAAGCTCCACCGATCAGCACGCAAGACCTCTTCGGCGCAGCGTCTCCGTTCGCATTTAGTACCGTGAAAAAGAAGCCGGAAGAAACGCAAAGAAGCAACTTGAGGTTCGCTTTCAGCCCTAGTGATGGGGTACTGGGAGCTGACGCGGTCGCTAAGAGCCCCACTCCTACTGCTGAGCGGGTCCCGCTGAAGAACAAGGACAACATCACGTCGTTTTGGAGCTTCACCACGGACAAAGCTTCCCAATTATCTCACGGATCATTTGGTGACAGGTCGAAAGGGGTATTGAATGAGGTCGGATTTCCAGCGCTGAACATCGACACGTCACTTGGCGACTTCGGCCCTACCGGTAGTCTGGATTTCACAGATCGCTTTCTTCGCAATATAGACGACACTTGAATACTATGACAAAGAACCAAGATCATTTCTGCACGCAGCACACTCCCGGTAGGAGCACCGCGGAAGCATCGGCATGGCTACGTGCTCCAAGTGGCTCTGAGCGCCGTGGCACTTGAATATTGCCAGAGAGAAGCATTCTGTACCGGTATCACAGCGACGTGCAGCGATAGTCACGTAAGGATGCAGCAGGCGGTGAGAGGCCACGTTCTCGAGTGATTGGCCGTCGACACCTGTCGCCCATGCACAGTCGATGCAAGCAGCAGACCTTGGGGGAGCACGGATTGATATCGGCGAAAGGGGGTGAGGCAATCGCGATGGGACGGTATAGCCGGTACCGCATAGTTTGGATACGGGCCTTTGCACGGCCACGCTGGGGAGGGCGCGGAGGCGGGAGGAAGTCTAGCTTGTGTTACGGTGCCCGGGAAATTGACAGTGGTGTCCAAATAACGTGCAAAGTGAAGCGGCAGCGAGTCTCTGCGCCCTATCGTGACAGCATGTGTCGTGGGTTGTAGCGTCAACGTTGTGCTGCTAGTGCTGTCCGTGAACCGATATCGTCTGCGAGCACGGACGCTCCTTCCTCGTCTTCACCAGACAGGAACCCATGACAAGAGCTGCCAGCATTGCGTGCGCAGTTGCCGCCAAGCCCGATTGCCTCTGTCGCTATCAATCAACAAGCCACCTGTTCACTGCCTCCGTCCTGCTGCAAAACAAACTCGCGTCCACTCGCTGCACTCGGCGTCGCGAAACAACCACCACCACTCGGACCACCTGCACTGACGCGCTTTGTTACGCGGTAGCAGTCAGGCAGACGTCATTGGGCCGCTCGCTTGGGATAATCTTTGCGCCACTCTGGACTGGACGCCAAACCACACAGAATTAGAACGTGGACCTCTCGCCCTTCTCACTGGTCTCGTCGCTCGCTAGCACCCTGGAACACCGCCTGCAGCCCTCGCATCCGCCAGCGCCTGCTCTGCACGCTAATCTAGAAGATCCGCCCCTGCTGGCCCTCCGCTGTGTCTCCGCCGCGCCCAAACGACCGCATCCTGGCCAACGTCCTGAGCGCCCGCCCGGCAATATCTGCCACCCATCCCGCCACGAGGTGCCTTCCTGACGGTCGAATCAATGTCGAGCCCATGTCACCCCAGCCGGACGCCCAAGGAAATACCTCACCCCCCGCATCGGTGAGGTCGACGGCCAGCCATGGACTGCCCACGCCCGACGCCGAGCACGACCAAGTGACGCCCAAGAGCCTCGCGCAGACGGGCCGTTCACGCACCGCGCCCATTGTCAACGAGAGCAATCTCTGGAAGTCGTCAATTGACCGCCCCCAGCTCGACGAGCGCGACAGCATCTTCGCAACCACGTACCTCGTCTCCGACAGCCCCATCTCCTCCCCGCGGGCCAGCGCACGCAATGTAGATTCTGCCAACGATGCTCCCGAACACAGTCTGGCTGAGATGGCAGCGCCAGCACCTCCCCAGAGGCGATTGATGGATCCGCCCATCATACGCAGGAAGCATTCCACCCTTCCTGCGCCTTCTTCCATCGACCACCAGGCCGTCCTGACTACCCCCTTTAACCCCCGCGCAGCCATTGCCGCCGGCATGACTTTCGACGCCATCCATCACAGTCCTCCGCCCTACATGAGCCCAGTCGACTCGCCCGTACAACACCCCACCACCCCGCCACGTCCCGAGCTTCAATACGAGGCTTTGCTGGAGAGCGAAGAGAGGCGCAGGAACAGGGAGTGGCGCGAAGGGAAGCCTGTACCATTTAAGGGCAACATGATCTTGGATCAGCCCGTCATGGACGTGGAAATGGAGAAGAAGATTGAAGCAACGCTTGCCAAGACCGAACAACCCACTTCCGCACGCAGTCGAAAAGCAAGTCACTATCTGCGTGTATTCAAGGATGGCGATCCTACCGAAGAGCCGAAGAAGAAGGACAACAAGACAAAAGAGCGTCCTTCTGCTGAGAGGACCCTGTCCGCACTTTCAGAAGAAGGCTCAACCGAGACTATCGGCCTCATTGACCAGCTGCGCCGCGCATCACTAGCTTCCTCCGTCGTGCAATCACCTCTAGGCGGTCCGACTGATTCATACTTCGATGCGAAAGCGGCGCCCCGCACCGAGTCAGGCGTTGCCTCTCCACCTCCCAACGGAAGCACGCGACCAGACGCAAGTTCTCAGGACAAGCACAAATTCCCAAGGCGTCTTCTCGAGGACATTCGCGGCTTCGGCAACCTGACTCCTGGTGCGGACCCACGGTCTTCGTTCTCTCGCAGTCTACCCACATCAGCTGTCGAAAAGGTTCACGCGCATGCACCAACGAACGGAGCGACACCTTATGACGAGCCGTCCGATTATTTTCAGGTTAAAGACGGAGGCGATAAAGAACGTACGCCAGGCTCGGAGGAAGATGAAGAATCGGAAAAAGAACAGATCTCTTCGGCTCTCTACTTTCCCCATCGCCGGCTTAAGACAAGTGAGCAGGTGCCTACAGAACCACAGAACCGAGATAGAGAGGTGAATGCTGTCGATAAGCGGGCTTCAACTCACGAGGTTGCGGGGCCGAAAGGGTGGGCCACAGAGAAGGATGTTCAAACTCCACAAGAAGTAGAAATTTCTCTAAAGGCCCAAGATACCAATCAATGCCTTCATGGTGATATCTCCACGGCGACTTCCTTGAAGAAAGATAAAGAGCAGCCGCTGACCGCTCCCGATGCGCTCTCAGCTGAATCTGAGTCTGAGTCGCACGCCGAGTCTACTCAATCAAATCTTGGTTATGAATCCAGTGCGACTGATGAACTAGGAACGACGCCCACTGCGACTTCGCATAAACAGGAACCTAAGGCTGCTGCCCCTCAGGTGGCTCAGCCGCCGGCCCCACTGGGTGCTGTGGAGCTGAAGCCATACGATCACCAAGTTGGCGGTCATTCTACTGTTTACCGTTTCTCTAGGCGAGCAGTATGCAAACAGCTAAACAATCGAGAGAATGAGTTTTACGAAACAGTGGAGCGGCAGCATCCTGAGCTGTTGGAATTCTTGCCAAGGTACGAAATCTCCCCCCGCTATTGATCGAGGCTGAGACATCAGCGAAGATCATTGCCTTCGCCTCGGTTCCTGATGAGGATATTTGCTAACATTGACATCTAGATACATCGGCGTGTTGAACGTGACCTACCGAAAAGCCCCCAAGAAGAAGAAGGTTGCCAAAGACAAAGCGAAATCTGATGCTGCTCCCACTGCTTCAGCGACGCAGTCGGAAAGCGCGTCAAGACAGGCTTCAAAGGCTCCCGAAGACCGGGGCAATGCGGAACAACCTCGAGTGGTCAGCCACTCGCAGCAGATTATGCCCATCCCCCAGGTCATCTTTGAGAACAATCGGCACATAATCCCAGACAATCTGTTCCGCGTGCCACCACGCTCCACCACCCCAGATCCATGGATGCGCAATGCTTCCTTGTTGCAACAACAACATCGACGAAACCAAAGTGACTATGGTCACATTTCTACGAGCCCGAGTCGGCCCCCATTGCAGCATGCTAGCAGTTGGGGTGTGACGACGATCAACAGAGAGCTACAGGAGGAGGTACTCCGGCAGGTTTTTGCGCCGCCAACTATTCATCATCGGCCACGCCATCATCATCACGGGATCTCGGCTCGTAAGACAGGAGGAGACGTTCCGCAGAACGTGGCTGGCTCTGCGCCTACGATAAGGAGGAACAGCACAGATGTAGCTGGATTGCATCCACCGCTCACAGAAGAGTCTACACGGAAACAAGTTCTGAAAGCTGAAGCGCACCGCTTCGCCTCGGAAAGGAGCGCTGATGCTGCCGTTTCCAGCTCCCTTGGCCAGCCAGACACCACCGCCGATGCCCTGAAGCCGCCATCGAACAATCTTCCCCGCCGTCGTCATTCTGGCAGTGGACTTACTAGAAGACCCTTGGGGATAGATACTGTCCAGAGACATAACCTAGAATACTACGAAGAGGATGGCTACGGTGGTGACGCAGAGGAGGAAGTATTTGCTATGGACGAGGATCGCAATGCCATGTCAGACGCAAAAGATCAGCACCGAGGCCGATCTGTACAAGCATCTGGCGCAACAAACGGGGTTCATCCCCAGATACCATCAGAAGGCACAATGCTACCAGCCCCTGCTGCACCAAATGGCAACGGCGCCCTGCTTGGCGATGAGCCTTCTAATCCCGAAGAAGCGCAACAACAACCCGACGAGCGCGTTCAGCACTTCATCCTTCTGGAAGACCTTACTGCAGGCATGTCCAGGCCTTGTGTCTTGGACCTGAAAATGGGCACGCGGCAGTATGGAGTGGAAGCCGATGAGAAGAAACAAAAGTCTCAAAGACGCAAGTGTAAGATGACGACGAGTGCTCAGCTCGGCGTACGTGTTTGCGGCATGCAGATTTGGAACGCCAAAACCCAAAGCTACATCTTTGAAGACAAGTATTTCGGTCGCGACTTGAAGGCTGGCAGAGAGTTTCAGGACGCATTGAAGCGCTTCTTCTGGGACGGGACAAGTTACAAAGCAGCGACAAGACATATCCCTGTCATACTGGAGAAGATCAGTCAGCTGGAGCGCATGATACGGAACCTTCCAGGCTACCGATTCTACGCAAGCAGCTTACTGATGCTCTACGATCGTGGGGATGGAGAGTCGAAGGAGAAAGACGCGCAACCTTCACTGCCCAACGGTTTGTCGAACCCGAGCAGCGAAGACGTCTCAGTAATACCATCCGGACCCACATCACCTGGCCCGACAACCGCCTCTAAGCCGACACCTAAGCATCTTCCAGAGATTAAGCTCAAGATCGTCGACTTCGCCAACTGTGTCACCGCAGAAGACCCGCTGCCTGACGACTTACCTTGCCCACCCCAGAACCCGGACGGCATTGATAGAGGCTACCTCCGTGGTCTGCGATCGCTGCGGCTCTACTTCCAGCGCATCTGGCACGACATCAACGAAGAGTGGGTTGAACGAGGCGAGGGCGAAGGTATGGCACGCAACCATCACCACGGCCCTGGCCTAGGTGAAGTCGGCGCGGGCTGGATGGACGATGCCGGTGGTGAAGACACAGGCTATGCCAGCTTCTAAAAAGGAGCACAAGCAAAGAACAGCAGAACAGAAGAAGAAGAAGAAGTTGGTCCCCCAAACACGTCTTTTCTCTAATTCCCTTTTTGACTGGCGTTTTGAATTTTCATCAGCTTCAGGGACGCAAGCATGGCGTTTGGGCGCAATCACGGAAAGACAAAGGTAATGAAATTGGTAACTACTCTGGCATGCATCGGCGCATAGCATTTATGGGCGGCAAATCCTTTGCATTGCTTTTCCTTTTTTTTCATTCTGGGGTTCTATCGGGATGGGGGTGGGTTTGTGTTTTGGAGTTCGGTTGGGGTTTCTTGTATATTATCATGGAAAGAGTAGGGTAGCGCTAGCCTCATTAATGCAGCATTTTGAATCATTACACGTTATTCCCAAATTAACAATAATCACCTCGTGATCGCATAGCAGAACTCAAGGCTCTACATGCCTTCCTCGGAGTCAATCTCCCCAAAAACAGCCACACCCTTCCTCCCCAACGCCGTCCCCACACCCACAGCCCCCGCCCCTACCCTCCTCATCCTCTCAAACCCAGCCTTGTTCTCCACACCACCCACCCCTATAACCACAATCCCCTTCACCTCCTCAGACGCAGATTGATCCAATAACCGTCGCAACGTAGCCACATTACCCAACGCAAGGGGATGCAACGGCGCGCCTGCCAGCCCGCCTACTCCGGTGCCGTTTGCGGATTTCAAAGCGGGTTTTGCTGTACTTTCCCCATCTGAGAGGAGTAAACTCGAACCCAACGTATTTACCGCTGTGATGAAAGATACTGGTGTGGGTAGGTAAACGGGTTTCATGACGTTCTGCCCACTTTCCACCAACACACCGACCAAGCCCTCGAACTGCTCGCTGTATGTATACGGTGGGATCTTGATGCCAACGGAGATTTGCGTTACACCCCCGCTTTTCGTCAGGCATACATCAATCGCTACTTTGAGCGCGGCCAGATACTCGCGGAGAGCAGCGGTGTTGTATGCTGGTGGCGTTTTGCCCGGGATGTTGGGGCAGGAGAGGTTGATTTCCATGGCTAGCGGCATCTTAACATTGGGCTGCGTGGTGGCGATGAGGCTGTAGCATTGTGCTATTTCCTCCGCGCTGCCCGTTACAGACACAACTACTAGCTTGTAACTTTCCCGACCGTTTGGCGGTACGTCGCCCATGCCCTCGCTAATCGTCTTCACATACTCCAGATACTCGGATAAGGGGAATGGCGAGTACCCCAATGTATTCAAACTCCCTGTCGTGCTGGCATCGCCGCCGACATCTTTGTTCGGCGTGCTGGTTGCGTGTGTTGAGGGGTTGAAGAAGGTGAATTGGTGGTGTGAGGGGTCGTGTGCGAAACCGCCGAGGAGGGATGTGCGCGTTGTGATGGCGCCTGTGTGTGGACTGTCGTAGAGTTCCTGGAGTTGCTCAAGGGTTGTGCACCAGGGGTTTGCGGAGTTGAGGAGGGGTGGGGTGATGGGTGGGAGGGGCATTCTTGCGGTTTGTGTGATAGTGATATGGTGTGGTGGTATGGAAGGGGAGATGTGTCGTCTTGGGGTTTTTGTCCTGAGAGTGGGGTGGGATGATAAGCTTTCTCTTGTCTTCGGGGTTTTCATAGCTCGAGATAGGGCGGATGATCTGTGACTCATTTAGAAGGTAAGTCAATCTAAAAGGGCTTCCTAGATAGGTAGGTCGATATCCTCGGAAACGTATCAAATGCGAGCAGATCACACATCAGAAAGCTTGTTGTGATTCTTTACATTCATTCATTCGGATTCTCCATGATTACTTGAACTATACACAGTACTCACTCGAACCCATCTCCATCACCTACTTAACCGAACAGCACATCACCAAGACGAATGGAAACAGTCTTAGTCTGAATGTAGTTGTCCAGCGCCGCCTCACCCAACTCGCGGCCAATACCACTCTCCTTGTAACCACCTGTAGATAAGAAGTCAGTATATGTCTCACATGCGCATCGTACAGCCAGAACTTACCGAATGGAAGCTGCCAGTGAAGAGTGTTGTAGGAGTTGACCCAGACAGTTCCAGCGCGGAGCGCGTTGGCAACCTCGATGGCAGTGGTGAGGTTGGAAGTGTGGACTGCGGCGGCAAGACCGTAGGTGGTGTTGTTGCCAATCTTGATGACGTCGGCCTTTGTCTTGAACTTGGAGATTGTGCAGACGGGGCCGAAGATTTCTTCTTGTTGGATCTTCATGTCCTCGGTTACGTTGGAGAAGATGGTGGGCTCGATGAAGTAGCCCTTGTCGCCGTGGCGGTTGCCGCCGGTCTCGACGGTTGCACCGGACTTCTTGCCCTCCTCGATGTAGCTAGAATGTGTATTAGCCTTGGCTTCGGTTTTGGAAGGATATGACATTGCTCACCCCATGATACGGTCGAATTGGAGCTTCGAGACCTGAGGTCCCTGGAAGGTGTCCTTGGCGAATGGGTCACCGACAGCGTTCTGGGCGGCCCTCTCCTTGAAGCGGGCAATGAACTTGTCGTAGATTTCTTCTTGGACGTAGATACGCGATCCAGCGCAGCAAGCCTGTCCGTGGTTAAAGTAGATACCGAAGTTGACCCAGTGGATGGCCTCGTCGAGATCGGCATCGGCGAAAACGATGTTGGGGCTCTTGCCTCCAAGCTCAAGAGTGACCTTCTTCAAGTTGGAGCCAGCAGCGGCCTTCATGATTTGACGGCCGACGACGGTTGAACCAGTGAAGGCAACCTTGTCGACATCCATGTGGGCGGAGATGGCGGCACCAGCGACCTTTCCGAAACCAGTGATGACGTTGATGACACCTGGTGGGAAACCGGCCTCTTGGATGAGCTTGCAGGCTACGTATGCGGAGAGAGGAGTCTGCTCAGCTGTCTTGATGACAACGGTGTTACCAGTGGCGATGGCGGGACCAATCTTCCATGACCACATGAGAATGGGGAAGTTCCATGGGATAATTTGTCCGCAAACACCAATCTGAAATTCTTAGTCACGGGACATGGACTTGGAAAAATATGAAACTTACGGGCTCCTTGCGGATGTAGTTGAAGCTGTCGGGTGCTGTGTCGACGACCTTACCCTCAATCTTGTCGGCCCATCCTCCGTAGTACCTCAAGCAACCAGCGGCGGCAGGGATATCGACGTTCCTGGCCATGCTGAAAGCCTTACCGTTGTCGAGAGCCTCGACTGAGGCGAGAAGATCGGCATTCTTCTCAAAGAGGTCGGCGAGCTTGACAAGCAGCTTTCCTCGGTTCTCTGGGGTCTCCTTCCGCCATGGGCCGTTGAAGGCCTTGCGTGCGGCAGCGACAGCAATGTCAACATCCTTCTCGGTGGCCTCGGCAACATTGCAGATGACCTCCTCGGTAGATGGGTTGATGACCTCGAAGGTCTTGCCGTCAACGGCCTTTACGAACTCATTGTTGATGAAGCTGGTTGATGTCAGTATTGACGATGCCGAAGCATTACAAAGTCTCCGAAAAACTTCGGAGACTGAATATCTAACTTACAGTCCGGTGGGCTGCTCGTACTCGCCCGTTTGGGGGGTTGTTAGCTTTACGGATGTCATTGCGAAAGCGAATTGGGGTATATGGACAAAACAAAGCTGTGAAGTGAAGGAGGGGTAGAGGCACAGGCAAATCTTAAGTACTTTCAGGAGCTCCGCATGACGACACTAGAGGTTATCTCCACTCGAGACAGGACAACAGTACGATCGCCCAGACAGCCTCGGCCATCAGGAGCCAGTCTCAGGAAAGCGCTGCAGCCTATTGCGTGTCTCGACGATGCATGGCCGGGTGGCGCTTGATGCAACGGCGGAAGCTCTTGCCCCGCTTTCGTAGCCAGTGGTAAGCTACCCCTCCCCCGCAGTTCTGCTCTGGAAGTCCTCGAAGCCGCAGCTAACCCTGCTACACGCGGTACTGGATTCTCCAATTTGGAATAGACACCTATTGGCAACTGATGCGCATCCGCAAAAGGCATTTCTCCACTTGCGGCGCGTGGTCATCTCGATACAGCATCTTTCTATAACGCATATCGCAGGACTAAGCTCGGAGCTCTAGACACGTATCCAAGCAAAACATACCCACCATCGGAGCCACTACGCTAAAGCCGAAGGGGCAGCCCTATGGACCATATCGTCGTACCCCTAGCTAGCTCGGCCCTTTTTCGAGCGAGCACCGGTATGGCGAGGATAACACTGATCCACAACCCCGAGCTAGAGTAATCGCTGTATGCACGTGGGCGACCTGGATTGCAAACATTGAGAGCGCAAGATACTCAGCTCATCCGGTCCGTCAGCTGTGTCGGATGAACGCTCCTTTCACCCAGCCAGATCCTGGTCAGAAGCTAGAGTAGCCGCGGGCCTCCACACCACCTAGTAAATCGCGGGGAAGGTGCGACAAAATTTGAACTAATGACGTTGGCGTGAGAACTTCGCACGAAGGGGTACTGCGGCGCGAATAGGAGCATGCAAGGACCGAATAGCTGTCAACCGGAGAGCACTACACATGAGCAGATGGTGGTGTGATCCGGGCTGCTGGGAAGCGCCAACCCGGTCAGCACGAGCAAAGTTCACATTTTGTTGTTGCGGAGTCCTCCGGGGAGAAAAGCACGGAGCGATTCCGCTGTACCGAGTCGTACTGTCTAGCAAGCTTTCTAAGCCTCGCTGATCTTCTATATGATCGTCTCTCTGCAGCATGTCATTGCCGTCTTGGGTTCGTGGAAGCCTCAGTATTGCCATGTTGCCACGCTCTATAGATGTGGCAGCTCTCCATCTCGGTGTGTTTCAGCCAACACGCTGGCCGGGTTCCGTCCACAACATCAAGAGAGCCGGGAGGTCGGTGTATGTGAACATTCGAATAAGGGTACTTCACGATGGATGAGTCGACGAGATAAGTTTTCAGGATCATGTTTCCGATTCATAGCCATTCTGATTGAAGCTACCAAATACCCGGCGTGCAATTTAGGAGCCGAGAATAAACGTCCATGAATAGTGTACAAGAGCCGAATTG